TACATTTTTTTCAGGGAGGGTTCTTTTGTGTTGTTGTTTTGTTTTGTTTTGTTTTTTAACAAAGGGAATAAATCATGACACATAAGGTCGAGCTCCTCCTTTGACTCCCAACTCCCACCCCCTCCCTCTTGCTTACCACCCCCCACCCCAACTCCTCACATGGAATCGTGAATTGGCAGGGGATCCGCTTGCCCTTCTCTGACTGTCCACATATAGAAGAGAGTTGATGGGAACTCCATTGTCATGCTTGACCCTGACCTCTTGCGTGCTTCTTTCTGGCTGCCTAATAATGCTTCCTCTCTCCTCTCCCCGCCCTTGGATTAGAAGTCATGCTTTCCATCTCATGCTGCTTCTATTCAGTCAACAGAGTAGACGGCTCTTACATAAATCAATAGGCAAGTCCCATGTAGATGAACAATGGCACACTGGCCCGGATCCTCTTCCTGCAGACAGCCAAAGCCAAGAGGTGCCCGTGTGTGGTGTGTCACATCTCTGGAATGAGGGTCTGACACACGCAGTGACCCTCTCTCTCTTTGTCTCTTCCAGATTCATCCAGGAGGTTGAGCACGCCCTGGGGCTAGGCCCCGCCAAGCAGTGTCCTCTGCGAGAGTTCCTCACGGTCTACATCAAGAACATCTTCCTCAACCAGGTCTTGGCCGAGATCAACAAGGAGATTGAAGGAGTCACCAAGAGCTCCGACCCGCTGAAGACCCTTGCCAATGCGGACACCATGAAGATGCTGGGGGTGCAGCGGCCCCTCCTCCAGGTAGTCGAACATTGCCAACTTGCTTGATGTTTTTTTCCCTCCCTCAATAATTTTCATCAACTTGGCAAGAATCATAAATTAAAAAGTAGAAGAAGAAGCAAACACGTTACCATCTGTTTCTAGATTCATCAGGGACAAAACAAGAGGAAGTAAATTAAACAGGCACTAGGGAAATTTAGGACTAATGTCGGGATAATGAAAGTTCCTTAGGATCTTTAAGAAAAGTAAAATGGTAAGCTTTGGAGATGGTGGAGAGTGGGCCTCATTAGTATGCAGGCGACTCCTCATTAGTTGCGTGCAGTTTGTCCGTGGAAGGAATTCTTTTCCTGTTGGTGAAGGTATCCTGAAGTGTGAAGGAAGGACCTCGGGCTAACCTCCAGTTAGACATCCCCCCAGTTCGACAACCGTTTGAGGGCAGATTGACTGCCAACAACTTGATGACCTCAGAACGAGTTTCAATGAACCTGCCAACTGGCTTGTTGTAAAAGTCAGAATGTCTTTATTCAAATAATGATCTGGTTAATATTGAAAGATTTGCACCAACTCTACAAAGAAATTGCTTCTGCACACCACACAGAAACAGATACATTAGCATATGTCTCAGCAGATAACTGGTTAATTAATAGGCTCTTGTGTGTATATATATATATATATATATATTAGCCTTGACTTGGAAGTAAATGTAAAACAAGAAGCAGATGAGTCTGAATTTGAATCAGGGTATGGGCGGGTGGTCTATGATGAAATGATGATGGAATCTGTTTAGTGAGTGAGAGTGATGGGCATACTAGCCCACGTGCAGACAAGTCGCACAGTAGGAGGATGTGTGGAAATGTGGAGGATGAGCCCTTCCGAGAGACGTTACATCAATGGAAGGGAGTCACTCCTGGTCCTACAGGTGCCTGCCCTCACCTGCTTGTTTATACGCTGCTTGTCTTCCTCCCTGTGTTAGGCCAGTTGTCTAGAGAAACAAATCCAGTGACACTCGTCTATGCAGAAGAAAGCTTTATATCAAGGAGTAATCATGTATGAAGAAGGCATCCCAGCCCAGGCCAACCCACGTCCCCAAGCCCAATGCCAGTATATACTCCTTCTTCAGACTCACATAGCCACTTGCTATGTGCCACGTGCCAGTATATACTCCTTCTTCAGACTCACATAGCCACTTGCTATGTGCCACGTGCCAGTATATACTCCTTCTTCAGACTCACATAGCCACTTGCTATGTGCCACGTGCCAGTATATACTCCTTCTTCAGACTCACATAGCCACTTGCTATGTGCCACGTGCCAGTGGCGCACAACGGTGCCTGGGAAGCGGGAAGAGCACAGGCCGGTGGGTGCAGATTGGAGTGGATCCAAAGTCCGTGGAAACATGCAGGGCGCTGACACGGTCGTTGGCAGAGTCCCAGCCAGCAGGAAGGCAAAGGGGCAGAGAGAGAAAGATCATCTCTAGTGTGTCCTCCCTCTTATACCAAAAGGCTTATGACTTCAAGGCACTGTCATCAGGCTGTGGCTTGACTCCACCCCTAGCCAAGGGTGTCCGGTTGACATAAGCCTGAACTACCACGCCCCTTTTTCTTCTTTGCACAATAGAATGAACAGAACTGCTGGACCTTTCACAGGGGTGTCATCTAAGCTTCGAGTGCTCTGCTGTTCGGAGCAAACTCTTCTCCCAAGTTGAGAGAGAAGGGAGGTCTCTGCTTCGCCTAGGACTGAACTGTGGCATCTGGGAGGTGTCCATTGGATTGTCTGCGTCTGTGATGGATGTGCCGTGATGAGGGCTCTTTACAGAGTATGGGACCAAGAGTACCGGGGACAGCAGAAGCGAGTGCTCCCTGTGCCCTCTGCCATATCACTCGTCCCCTCTCTGTGCCGCTGGGACCATCTCCCCTTCAGGTCTCAGCTCAAGTGTGACCTCCACAGCGAGGCTGCCCCTGAATAGATGCTGTTTTCTGGTTTATCCCTCATGACTCCCCACCCCCACTCATTCATGCTCTGAGCTGATCTATCCTGTCCGTGTCTCCCCAAGGCTGAGTGCAGTGGCCTGTACTATCCAGGCGGTCCTGCCAGGAGGCGTCAGGTCCCACGGGCAGAAGCACTGGCAGGAAAGGGGCAGGTGAAAGGAGAGCGGCTGACGTCTCTCTTCTCCTTCCCGCTCCCCCTGAGGTCCCGATTCTGGCTATGGGTACTACCTGGTGACACCGGTCCACACCACCAGCCCCCCCTGGCCTCAGCCATTTTCCTCCTTGTCTGCTGATGCAGCCTTCTGTGGGTGCCAGTCTCCAGGTGCCCCAACATCCCCTCTGCTTCCCACAACCTGCCCACACCTTCTGAGTCCTCCCTCCCTTCACGGCTCGTCACATGAGCAGTCTAAGTGTTGTTCTCTTTGCCGAATCTTAATGACTGGGTGCCCAGCCAGTCACAATTATAGCACCTCCCACTGGGTGATTCCCCCCCCTCCTTCATGACTCGTCTCACAACTGTCATGATGAATTGAAATGTTTTTAACTTGGTTATTTTTTGTCTTTTCCTACTAGAAGGTCAGTTTTAAGAGCATAGTATACTGAATGCATGCATGCATGGATGGGCGGACAACAGATGGACGGATGAGTGAATGTAGAGAGAGAGTGAGTTTTGGTTTGTTTGAGGGGACACTGATAGGCTGTTTTTGTTTCTTTTCAAAGCAAATAGTACCGTCCTTTGCTCAAGAATACAATGGCGACTAACATCAGATGACGATGATTCGTTTTCAGTAGCAATGAAAGCTTGCAAGCTTTGAGAGGCTGAAGTGATTGCAGAGCAGAGTGGGAGGGGAGCTGCAGGCGGTGGCTCAGAGGGGTTGCCCTGCCTTGCCCTCGCACCACAGCACCAGCCTCGCCTCCCTTGGGAAACATCCGAGAGGCCTTTCCACAGGGAGAGCTGGATGAGCACCGGGCACCAGAGAGTCTGCCCACCCTCCACTCTGCCTTGTTACACACACACATTTTCCGCTAGCCGATGACAATGGCCCACACCGAGGCCACTCACTGAGAGCTGATTGACCTCTTGGCAGAGTTCACCCAGGTCTCTGCCCTCCTGTTCATCACCAGCCCCTGTCCATTTTGAGGATTAGAACCGGAGAACTTGGGTCCCCTCGTGTATCTCTCTCTCTCT